GGTGTTACCTTCGAATTAAAAAAGCAGGGACGGGAGGCGGCTGGGGCACCCGGGGAGGCGCAAGGGAGGCGTTAGGGGTGTTGAAGAAATGCGGGTGCGCTTTGCAGCAAGGAAAACGACTGCAGCAAGGAAAGCAGCATACACGGTGCAAGCTTTACTCCCATACCTCGCCCCATGTGGTACTGGAACAGTCAGCTTTCCCACAGGACCTCAGCAGCTTACTCAGGAAAAAAAAAAAAAAAATTAATATTTTCAATATTTAAATATTGACCAAGGCAAACTGTTCCTGGCATGAAGGGTTCCCTTCGTCTGAAGGCTGGCACTATTGCCCTCTATTGAGTAGGGCCCAGCCCATCGCTGCCCACCGCGGGGCTGCAGCAGGGGAGCACCGATAGCACCCCACCATCACACCAACAGCACCCCACTGTGCCGACAGAGCACCCCAGCATCACACCCAAGGACTGGCGTTTTTACTGTCAGCCCCACGCTGGTGTTTGAGCACAGCACATGTCACGACTGGGTCCGTTCTGCACGCAAAGCCCAGATTCGGGGACCCACATCTCATTAACATCTCGACACCTGCACACAGACACCCTCGATGGCTTAACGTGAAGACACTCCCGCAAGAACTGACAATGCTGGGACTTGTACCTCCACATCCCATGATCATTTCTTCCATCCACACAGCTTTCCTGTCTCACAAAAACCCACCCAGGACTTGGATTTTTGCCATCACTTATTTATTTGGGGAAAAATATACACATTAGTTCTAAATAAACACTCATCCCCTCCCTTAAACAGACTGTTAAATTAGACTGCCCAAACAAAATGTGCTTATACTACATTTTCCCTTACAGATGCAGAGTCTGTAAAACCAAGAAACAGATCGATACAGTGCTTTGATAATTCCCTGCTATTCCTGTGAGAACAACTGAAATAGCTGCGATCTCTTGAAATGCCAGTCCAGATCTGCAGCTGGTCATACACACAAAAGTGACAAGTTTTGCCTTTTTTTTTTCTTTTTTTTCCCAAACCACCGAAGGACAATATTGCAAAGAGGCACAACAAAGGGATGGGTGTCCGTTTCCACTGCACCCCTGCGGACGTTCCTAGGAACAGGCTGAGAGATGAGACCATCCCAGGTACACCGGGTACCTACTGACACTCTTTGGGAGACAGCAATTTGCAGATCAGCACAAGTGACATTCCAGTTAAAAAAAAAAACATAAGAAAAAAGAACAAAAGAGGTATTTGCCCCAGTTTTCAAAGAGAAAAGCAAGGTAAGCCAATACTGGAGGCCAAAGAAAAAGCATAGTACAACGTGTTGTGCAGCCGTGACATGTGTAACCAGAAAGGAAAAATTGTGACATGGCAAATGCAGCTTGTGCCCACAGATCACGGGCAAAGCCAGCAGCTTTCCCCGAGTGAATGCAGTGAATAAGGGCTTGCCAACAGCCAATGCAACCACATCCCTGAGCAGCCCTATTAATATAAACCTTTTTTTCTTTTTTTTCTTAAAGTTGCTATTTGAAGGATGCAGGACGCGAGGACTATACACCACAGTCCTGTCACAGCCCATGTAACGTAACCCCATTACATCATACAGTGACACTGCACGTGCGGAACAGCTTCCTCTCCCACCCTTTCAGACACCTAACCTGCTTCAGTTCAACTCATCCAAAATTCTGTACAAATTACTACACTACATCAACAGACTCTGTTGAAACTGGAAGTTACCTCTCCCAGAGAGGTTATTTTAGAAGTACTTAGGATATCACTTAAAAACAATGTACATTTTTCCCCCCACCAACACATGGTGATCATGGAATAAATCCACTTTCCTTCACATTAAAGAACAAGCTTTCCCTTTGGAGTGGCGCTAGTTTCTTAATTCCAGTATTTAAAAAGACAATTACGTTTGGTATTGCCACTTTTCTCCAACAGGAAAATAGAGATCGGTAGATGCCAAGGGAATATGGGAGAAAAAACCCAAGTAACAGATACTAATGGTAGATGTGCGGTTCTTGACAACATCAAGCTCCAAACTTCTAATGGAAAACCAAAGTATAACCAGGACAGGGTTGGGGGAGGAAGAAGGGGGCAGAAGGACTGGTGTCAGAGCAGAAAACACAAACATTTGATGAATCAAGGACCCTTAAAAGGAAGTTCAATCTCTAAACCACATCTTCACTTGAATTTTGCTGAGTCTTCCTCAAGTTGGCCTGATTAGCTGTTGTGGATGGTGTGCCAATGCCAAAGCCAGGAGTGCACGGACAAGAGTCAGAAAAGACAGAAGTATTTGCTGAGGAACAACATGCCCTAACAGCAAAAGGGTGAAGAAAGATGACGCCAAGCACGCAGGCAGCTGGACAACCTCTCCAGGAAACCACTGCCAGCCCCTGAGGCTCAGACACAAGCAGCGAAGACCTTGTCCAAGCAGGCATTCCCGTTGCTGGCCTTCGCATGGTCCCAAATAAGATGGTGAACATGACATGCAGGCAGAAAGATGTTTGATGAGGCAAAAGACAGTTGCACCTCCCTTCTAGAAACAGTAAAAAAAGGTATTTTTCTTCCCCTGTATGCAGACATTTAAACTTTTTTCTCCTTTTTTCCCAATAAAACCTGCTAAGGATGTAAGCACAATCATCAAAAATACCAAGGCTGCTCAGAAGAGCTCTTAGGATTTCACTTCCTCGTATACAAGCCTGTTAAACTTCAGTAAGTGTTAAAAACTGGAATCTGATACCAGCTCTCCTTTTCCCCCCAGTAAAGATTTATCACACACACACGCACGCACAGAATACATACTACGTTCCCCCTTCACAGCTTCACTGTTAAAAAGGATGATTGTTCTAAGCCAGGGAGACTTGTGAGGTCCAGCTCTCATAGAGAAGCCATTTTCCTCTATGGTTTTTACCTGATTTGCAAGGCAAAGCTCTACTGCTCCCATATATTCATTACAAAACAAAAAAATAGTCTTTTAGGGTGAGCCTAAAAACCTTGGACGTGTTGGTCCCAGACCCACAGGTCAGTTCTTGGCCCTTCGGAGCTTCCTGCGGAAATAGTCAGGTGCTGCATCATACAGCCAGTCCGCATCCACCACGCACAGGTCCCGCATGTAGCACTTGTTGGTGTGAAGCAGCCCGTTGTAAACCACGCAGGCTGGCTTGCAGTGGAAGAGCACAGAGGAGGGGTGGATGGCCACCAACTGGTGAGAGTCCACAGTGCTGTAGGTGCCGTCCGGCTGCAGCTCTGCAGCGTTCATGAAGAGACTGTGAGCCAGGCAGCGGCGGATGTTTCCCGTGTCTGAGCGGGAGGACTCAATCGGCATTGATAGCTGTTCAGCAGAGAGAGAAGCAAGAGTAAGCAAGCATGTATGTGCACCCTCATGGGGAAATATCCCCGTTTCAGTCGGCTTATGAGAGCAGGCAATATTGTGTTAGAAATCCCGCTAGTGTGGGAAATAACAAAGGACCGCTAGGAATTCAGCTCAGGTAGACTTTAGGCTAATCCAGACTAATAGCCAACAAAAGATGAGACATAAAATGGATGGAGACCCTCCTTCTGGGAGTATTAGGCCAAACAGTATTTGCAGTGGGACAGGGGTGCCAAACAGTGGCTCCCATGTCACATACAGACTGCATTCAGCAGCAGCTCCCACGCTGCGCCTTACGCTCTGCAACTGGCAGAACAGTGATGGTGTGAAAGCTTCTGTTGAATTGAATGCCTGACTCCATGAAGAAGCCAGCCAGCACAGGCTGCTGAGGCTGACAACACTTAGTGGCACACATAGCACAGTCACATCTGCACTAGAGCAGCAAAATCCCTTGGGAAAAACTGTCCTCTACCTTAGAAGCCTTCCCAGAGCTCCTCTTCTCTCCTCACCTTGACCCAATGAGCCCTGCAGTTCAGATTTTGGGATGCAGCTGCAGAGTCCAGAATTTTACCTGACTATTCATGGGAGACCGAAAACAAATGCACGTTTTTTCACTCCTGGGATTTGGTGCACAGCAAAATCAGTTTGGGAACAAACAGAATACAAACAGGTGAAACAAAGAAATACAGTGTGGCAAGAAGTTACCTTTACACAGATGTCCCTGAGCTGAGCTCTGACATCTGACACAAGCATCATGTTCCTGCTGTTGACAAAGTTCTCTTTGCACCATTCCTGCAGCAGAGACAACAGGAGTTAGAAGGGGCTGTTTCTTCACCCAAGAAACACAATAGTCTTTGGATACCATGAAAAGCAGAATCCTCCAAACACACAATCTTTCTCAGAGAAAAGGTGCTAACCCATTTCCTTGTCATATTTCTATCCCTGATTCCTCCCCTCTGTCTACATTCCCTCCCACAGTGCCAAGCAACAGCACGTTGCTGTTGTCAACAGCACTTGCTATCCCACAGGTAGTGAAACAAATTATGTAAGACAGACAGATGCTGCAAGGGATACGTGAGCTATGGATCTACAAATCAAACCAAGGAGTTTATAGGGTAGGATAGACCAAAATCTGCTTGTAAATACGCTCATTTTTTGCAATGAATCCTGCCAAACAGCATGTCTAGGGTATTTATCAGCAAGTCTCGACACTCTCCCACTCCCTGTTTCCAGCTGCAATCACAGGAGAAGAGACCTGGCGCTGACTGCAGAAGTGGCCTCATGGAGCTTTTGGTAATCAGTTTTGCTACTGCCTTCTGGGGGAAACTTCAGCACTTGAGCAGCTTTCTCCAATTACCCAACTGTAAAGGATGAGTAAGTCCCCTCTTCTCATTGCTTTGGAAGGATGCACATTGCATCAACTGGGAAGGATGCAGACATCACTTCGCTGTAAGCCAAAACAGCTCCTCACCACCATCAGCCTAGACAGCACTGGCATCCTCAGAGCATCCTACCTTGTTGCCACTGACATTTTTGAAGGCCCTGTACACACTGAGCAGGGTAAGGTGATCCCCCTCACTGGAGATGAATTTCTTCCTGACAGACTGCACTTCATCCCGCCGGGCCGGGGGATTGTAGAGGACACTGTCCACCGATAACAGCGACACAATGGTCAGGATCTCTTCTGTACAGTGGAACTTGGGCGACAGGAGGATGGTCTGCAAATCACAGAACAAAACTGATTTTTGGTTGACCAAATCCACTTCAGATGGGCAGACTTTTCTGCTCACCAGCAGCCCAGGAACTTTACCAACCATTGTTTAGGACAATTTCATAAACATTTGGACCTAGAGACAACTGTAAATCCTCTTATGGGCCACCAAGCACCTTTAACAGCAACTGTCATGCTCTTTCCTGAGACTGGCCAGTTCATATACAGTACAAACATGGCGATTAAAATCAACTACAGCATCAGACACTTCATGAAACTGCTAAACACTGCTACCAGCAATCCCAGAAATTGCAAGGGAATTAGCCTTGTTTCAGCTTAAGAGGTGCCAGAGGAAAGAAACTACCTTTTAAAAAAATCTCCCTGAATTAAACAACAAATGACAAGCAAAACAGCACAGCTGCTGGAAATAAAGCTGTGCTTCATTAACGTACTGCAAATATCCCAGCACAGCTGCAGTTGCCCCAAATTCCAGAACTTGTTTAAGGAGTTTGAAAGAGAAATGCCAATGGTAATGAGAAAAGTACGTGAGATAAAAATTAGCTAATTTTTCTGCAGTTTTTACTTTAGAGAACTTTGGTTCCAGTGGAAAGGCTGCCATCTTCCTTCCCAGGGGGGTTAGCACAAGCTGATCGTCCTTTCGTTCCACAGCTCCCAGCAGGTCCAGCTGCTCAATCGCTGCTTGAATAGCATCTGTCAAAACAAGAAGGTTCAGGCTGTGAGGCCTCCTGGCTGACACTGGCAGGGATGTGAGATTCTCTATGGCTTTCCTGGGCAGTTAAGACCCACCTTCACACAACCCAAAACTGCTCCCTGCTCTGTTTGGAAGCTGGACTTGCCAGCTCTCCGTCATAACTATGGCTGCTCTGATGAGGCTGAGCAAAAGCAATGAGCAGTGAATGAATCAGACTTCTGGATCACCAGGAGAAGATGCAGCAAAGAGAGACCACTCCTGTTTCACAGCCCTGACTTTACATACTCTGTCTTCTCTGGCTAGCCTGAAGACATTACTCCCCAGTGACTCATTCGTCAATTTTTTTCCAAGGCTGCCTTTGTAACCACTTACCAGGAGACGGTTTGGACATGAAGTCAAAGGTGAGCACATTGGGAATTCTCAGGGCCAGGAGCTGAAGCATCACGCTGGCCAGATTACACCTACATAGGCAGAAAAAAACATCTGAGATTGTTCTCTTCCCACCCCCCTTCTTTTTTTCTTTTCTTCTATTTGTCTATAAGCTGAGATGGAGTCCTCAGATCTGTGCTGCAACTTGACAAGAGACCAGTCCAATGCTGGCTAGTGAAGCCTTACTTCCTAAACCACAAAGGGCAGGAGGCGAGTCCAAGATTTGGAGGAAAGTCAAGAGAACTTGCATGTTTGGAGACTCAGAGCCCAAATGCCCACTCTGAGCAAATGCTTCCTAGTTTTCCTGTTTAGTCTCCAAGAGTTCATTTTTCTTAAAAGTCAACTGGTCATACCCTAGACCCAGTTTTGCTGTTCGGTTCTTAACAGAGCCTCATCTGTAACAGTACATAAAAGAGGTGTGGCAAGAAGTGTGATGATGTCAGGGTTCTTCTCTCACCTCTGTATCTCGGGTATTGTCATTTTGTCAAACTTCTCAAACTCATCCTCCGTGTAGAGCCGGTAACAGATCCCACTGTCCTCTCTCCCTGCTCTCCCTGTTCGTTGCCAAGCCTGGGCCTTCGACACCCGCTGGACTGCCAACACTTCCAGACCAATTTCTAGGTATGCAAAAGCATCACTTCAGTCAATGTCTGCATAACACACAGCTTTGAAAAAACATAACTTTTTAGGATTAATAACAAAAAATCCCAGGGTCTGCCATCTAAATACTGCTCAGGCTTCACGTGGTTCAGACCCTCACGCGCAGGTAATTATCACGCACTGTGTTCATGAAGAAAAGATTCATTTGACAGATTTTTACCCCTGCATTGCTGGTACTCAAAAAAAAAAAACCCCACACCTAAAACCCAGACCATTAATTTACACAGTGCAGAGGGTGTTTTAAATCAGCTCTTAGTGGGGCTCATTGCCTCAAACAACTTCTACAGAACTGAAATCAATCTCTGCACCGTTCCTTAGAATTCCTCACCAGGGCTGTACTTCTTTGCTTTGACCATGCCCGTGTCCACAACGTATTTTATTCCTGCAATGGTGATGGAGGTTTCTGCGATGTTGGTGGAGAGGATCACTTTACGACAGCCCTGGAAGGAAGAGCAAACTAAAGCCAGTCAAAAGCCATTTTAGATTAGCTGCAGTGAAGAAATGCTACTACTTTTGGCCAGCATGGGCCAAGCCTACATATCACTGCAGCATGCTATGACCACATACCATGCTTCCTATGCCAGCTCTCGCAAATTAAGAAAATCCCTAGTTCCTAATCAGTTTCTAAAGCATGTGCTTACACTTCTTGCAACAAAATACACCACCCAGGACAGCTATTACCAATATGTCTTCAACCATTTTGATTTAATTTCTGCCACAAGCACAAGACCTGAATTCTTGTTTGTCTGCTGAATAGGTACAAAAGGGCCTGAGGCAGCACAACTTCCTTTTCTTACGGCCCTGCCAAATATGCCCAGGTTTTTAGCTTTCTTAGTATTTGGCTGGCCCATTAACTGCTGTAGCTTTTTTGTGATATGGACATAAAATTCCTATGAAATGGGGCAAATTTCAGTTTCTCTGCCCTTTTCACTCCCCTAATCCTTCCTCCTTTTCATGATCCCAGACGACTTATCGTATGTATCTGTAACACCATCCCAGCTGCATTGTCTTATATCACACTGGAACCATTCAGCCTAAAGTCAGTAGAGACTATTGCTTAGTATCAGTACAAAGTGCTTTAACCCCTTAAACTCCACGTGTTTCTTCAAAACACTCATGCAAGCAAAAAGACAAACTCATCCTGTTCACCCATCACATTGCCTCACCTTGGGAGCAGCCTGAAAGACGCGGAGTTGCTGAGAGTAGGGCAGAGAAGCATAAAGAGGCATCACCATCATCTGTGGGCAGCCATCAGGGAGATGCTTGGCAATGTCTCGACAGGTTTTGGTCATTGCTTCAATTTCTTCCTGACCAGTCAGAAACACCAGGATGTCCTGAGAAGAGGGTGCTTCCTGGAGCCAGAAGAAAAAGCAAATAAGAAGTTAAGATGGTTTGGATCGGGAGGGAGAACCGAGATTGTAACGAGATGTTGTCCTGACAGCAGGTCAGCAAAGCTGAGGAGCAAAGCAAAGGTAAGGAAGAAAGAAGAGACAGACAAGCTGTGCAATGTATGCAACAGCCTGAAGTTCCCAGTGGATTCACCAGAGGTGAAGGGTAAAGCACATTTTGCAGGATAGAGTCTTAACAGGATGGCAGAATCATTTAAAGTCCCACATCTATTTTATTAAGTAACTGTCCACGACATGCAAACGAGAGTGCAAGCAGGCACCCAGGTACAAGCTAGTAAACACAGAAAACTATGGTGAGAGGAACATTCGGGTATTAGGTATAAATTGACATCAGAGACCTTTGCTTAGTGGTCTCCTTTCAACGCCAGCCCTGATTACAAGTCCCAAAATCCTAACAGCAGCAGCATCTTCAAAGCATTAAATGCAGGGTAATAAACAGTTTAATTAAATAATTTAACCATCTGGCAGTTTTGCATTCAAACATTTAGTCCCAAAATGCCTATGAGGTGTTACTTTAACAGGTCTCTACTTGCTCTGTGGTCATACTTCACCAGTAAATTAGAAACATCTTCATGGTACTATTAGCTTACGCCTCGATGTCCCACCACAAGCCAAGGCTCTTTACGGTTGACCACTTCCAATATTCCTTTCCACTTCTGGACTAACACTGGCATTTGTCAACCCCCTTGAACTAATCCAAATCACTAACCCAGCATGCTCCTCAAGTATCTGCTTTTCCCGGAGGATGCAATGGAGCACCTCAGGGACATCTCTGATTTGGCAACATCAAGCTCAAGCCGTGTCTTCTGCCACAGCAACCTGCGAGCTCCCCCTGACCAACAATCCATGACAAGACCACCATACCTGGTGGATTTGGAAGACTGACACCAGTGCTGCTTGGAGGTAATCACTCTGAGGCTGTTTGGTGTAAAAGATCTGAATAGGATGTTGCCGGCCTTCTAAATAGAGAACAGGAGCTCCACTGAAGTACTGGGAGAACTGGTCAACATCCATCGTGGCTGACATGACGACCACCTTCAATGTGAGCAGAAGATGGGTTAACACTGCAGTTTAGACCCAGCAGGGCACTTACCAGTCAGGATTAGCCAAAAGTCAGCTTCCTGAGACATATATATGCTCAGAACAGCAAAAGGCACACAGAGCTCAGGACAGAAGAGAGTGATCTTTCCTTGTTAAAGCCACCAGCTTTGGTGTCACACAAGCATAACGTGTTGGTATGATAAAATGAGCAAAGATGTGTTCAAATTCTCTTCCGACATTTAATAAACAGACCTGAGTGCCCATAAAGCTAGGCTGCACAATGGTCTGTTGAATAACACAGTGCTAGGACACTACCACTCCCCTACATGCCTTCCCCATCAAAAGCAACATGCTCTTCACACACTTCCTCAGGTACTCACATCAATTCTTGTGCACCTGACACACACGTGCAGGCTCCTTCCTCAGTGTGAGCATGACATACAGTTGTCGTATCGGAGAGCTCCTGTACCCAGGGTGCTCTCAGCAACAGTGCTAAAACCTTCCTAAATGTGTCTGGTTTATAGCTCACATCCAAGGGGCTCTTATGAAAAAAGGCAACATGGAGGTGACTAGATACCTTGTTCAGATGTGTCGTATCAGGCCCACACATCATAAGTTCTATTCAGATTTAAAGGGGCTTTTTAGGAATGGGAAAATAGTCAAGGCTGAAATTTCAAAAGCTTTGGAAAAACCCCAGGAGACACTCACACTGTTCAGGGTCCAAGCCCCATAGAATCATAGAATCGCTTTGGTTGGAAAAGACCTTTGAGATCATCAAGTCCAATCTTTAACCTAACCCTGCCATCCCACCACTAAACCCTGTCCCTAAGCACCTCATTTATCCTTCTTTTAAATCCCTCCAGGGATGGGGACTCGACCACTTCCCTGGGCAGCCCATTCCAGAGCCTGACAACCCTTTCTGTGAAGAAGTTTTTCCTAATGTCTAGCCTAAACCTGCTCTGGCGCAACTTCAAACCATTCCCCCTCATCCTACTGTCCATCACCAGGGAGAAGAGGCTGACCCCCCACCTCGCTACAGCCTCCTGTCAGGCAGTTGTAGAGGGTGATAAGGTCTCCCCTCAGCCTCCTCTTCTCCAGACTAAACAATCCCAGTTCCCTCAGCCGCTCCTCCATCCCTTCCCTCTGCTGCCGTCCTAGATGTACATACTTTTAGTGGCAGTTTGCCCAGTTCCTTTCGTTTCTTTTGCGCAGCTTTCACCACTCCAAAGAGTACATCAGTATGGATTGTCCGCTCGTGGGCTTCATCTAGGATGACAATGCTGTACTTCCGCAGCATAGGGTCCCCAATAGCTTCACGAAGCAGCATTCCATCTGTTAAAAACTTGATTCTAGTTTCATCAGATGTAAGATCGTCGAAGCGTACAGTATAGCCAACCTATGGAAGTGATCATTACAGAAAGCACAAGCACAGAGTTACTTGCATTCCTCATTGCCATCGTACCACAAGGAAGGACTACAAAGCACTCTGGTCAGCGCATTGGACAGAGCCAACTAGAACTCCAGGGACACTCCAGAAAGTGTAATGGTGTATTTGCAGTCTGTGAGCGGTTAGTCTTGCAAATCTAATAATCCACCCTAAAGGAAGCTCCCAACACCATTTCCCAATTGGATTTTTCCCAACTAGAAGTTAATCACAAATGCTCAAAGTTTCCTTTCCTTCCTCCCCTGCTAGAAACTACTCCATGCTCTCCGAAGACTTCATGTAGGGGAAGTCTTTCTCCTCCACTTTTCTCCCACAGATTCACAGATCTGCACAGATTCCGCATTCTGCTCTCCTCAACAGTGACTTTTGATACAGGGAGCAATGGGAGACAGTGCAATATTTTTGTTTTCTTCATTAAGAAGTATTTTTTCAAATGGAGGCAGACAGATAACAATCAAGAAGTAAAATACCACTGAGACAAACTTGCCACTCCCCTGAGCCCCAGAGGCAGGTAAAAAGTCTTTTTTTTTTTTTTTCCACCCAGGCATACTATTAAACAAATACTACCTACTACCCCTGTGGCAGTTTTTTCTTGCCCATTAAGCCCTGATACAGTCCCCATTGGCACTGCAGTACTAAAGCAACTCTCTAAAGACTCTGTAAAGCAACCTACCAGTTTCCCCAGCTCTGTCTTCTTCTCATCCGAGACTCTGGTAGCTAAGGAAATAGCTGCTACTCTGCGAGGCTGGGTCACAGCAATGATGCCTTGGCGGCCAATTCCTGCTTCGTAGAGGTACTGAGGGATCTGAGTGGTCTTCCCCGAGCCCGTTTCTCCTAAGGAACATCAAAGGAATAGTTTTCCCCTTCCATAGCATCTTCAAATGAAAGGTCCCAACTACTTTTTTTTAATGTTAACTTTTAACCATATTTCAGGATGGGGAAGCTGAAGACAGGAAGAGGTTGGACAACTTGCCCCAAGTCACATGGTAAAGCAGCAGCAAGCCAGGGACAGAACCCAACGCCTTGCTCTCGTTGCTAGACCATTCCTCTAGAAAACTCCTTCCACCCAGGTTCTCTCCAGCCACACTCTGGTTTAGAAACATACTCCACTCTGTCCAGATATGAAGCCAATATAAGACGATAATCATGCAGAGCAAGGAATAAACACTGAGTTGGTTTTATGCACATATTTATACTACACGCTAGTAATTTTCAAAGTAAAGCTGTAAGCAAATTAAAGCAAAGCTTTTGTCACAACAGCAAGTACCAAGTTACGGCCTGTGGCTGCCTTAGGAAAGCACTTAGGGCACCGACAAGCCAGCAAGGCTCTGTGCCTTCCTGAAATCAGAGACGGTACCTTCCGGCTCAGGTGAGCATCTTCTCCATCCATGCAGCACTAGCACACAACATAACACACTTCCAACACAAACCCTGTGTAGACCCCTCTACCAAAGGCGGCCACCAGCAAAAGCATACAGCCAGCTACCAGCCCTACTTACCGCAGCATCAACAACAAAAAGCATAACTTATGGGGCGCAGCACGAAGCAGCACAGATCACAGTGCTTCGAGGCACTGCAAGGGAAACCATCTTGAAGCGCCATGTGCGGGGAAGAGCAGAGAATGTTTTCAACATCACCGTCATTTTCCTGCATGTTTTATTACAGCTTAAACCACACCTGTAACTCAAATCAGATCCCCTTCAGCTTCCTACTGGCCCATTACGAGAATTGCTCCACATGAGTCATAGAATCATAGAACAGAATCATAGAATCAGTTTGGTTGGAAAAGAGCTTTGAGATCATCAAGTCCAACCTTTAACCTAACCCTGCCATCCCACCACTAAACCATGTCCCTAAACACCTCAACTATCCTTCTTTTAAATACCTCCAGGGATGAGGACTCTATCACCTCCCTGGGCAGCCCAGTCCAGAGCCTGACAACCCTTTCGGTGAAGAGGTTTTTCTTAATGTCTAGCCTAAACCTGCCCTGGCGCAGCTTCAAACCATTCCCCCTCGTCCTATCATCTGTTACCAGGGAGAAAAGGCCGACCCCCTCCTCACTACAGCCTCCTTTCAGGTAGCTGTAGAGGGCGATCAGGTCTCTCCTCAGCCTCCTCTTCTCCAGACTAAATAACCCCAGTTCCCTCAGCTGCTCCTCATATGACTTGTGTTCCAGACCCCTCACCAGCTTGGTTGCTCTCCTCTGGACGTGTTCCAGCAATGCAACATCTTTCTTGTAGTGAGGGGCCCAAAACTGAGCACAGTATTCAAGGTGTGGCCTCACCAGCACCGAGTACAGGGGCACGATTACTTCCCTACTCCTGCTGGCCACACTGTTTCTGATACAGGCCAGGATGCCATTGGCCTTCTTGGCCACCCGGGCACGCTGCTGGCTCATATTCAGCCGGCTGTCAACCAGTACCCCCAGGTCTTTTTCCACGAGGCAGCTTTCCAGCCACTCTTCCCCGAGCCTGTAGCGCTGCATGGGGTTGTTGTGACCAAAGTGCAGGACCCGGCACTTGGCCTTATTGAACCTCATACAGTTGGCCTCGGCCCATGGATCCAGCCTGTCCAGGTCTCTCTGCAGAGGCCTCCTCCCCTCAAGCAGATCAACACTACCACCCATGAAAGCGCATGAGGCTCTGGAAGCCAGAGCCCTCTACTCTCAGTCCTTGCCCGACGGCAATGGCACAGAGCACACCAGGGCAGCGACGTGAGAACCCACAAGAGGAGGAGGAAGCAGCATGAGGAATTCAGAAAGATGACCACCAAGCAGAGAAGAATCAGAAAGCCAAATTTTTTAGCACTAGAGCTGCAGGCTGGAAATAGCACGAGTGAGCTTTTTAGCTCACTCCGCAGCTGCAAAATTTTTAAGTGGCCTATTGTAGTTTATATTTAGCAAGCAATAATGACAGTCTCAGGATTATACAGAAGAAAGGAGATAAATGCAGTCACGTCTATCAGTTACCATGACTGACTTTTTTTTTTTTTTTTTAGGGTTCACATACAGGAGCGAAATACAAAGCATTTTTCATTTTTAGACTTCCGGCTGGGAAGTTTTATGTCTTCAGCTCCGGAAAGTCAGACAAAAAAGTTACTAGTTTGGACTCAAAGAAAGCATAACAAAAGTAGTGAATGCCCCTGAAAATGTAGCTGAGGAGACGCTTTTTCCAGAGAGCTGGGTTTTCCCGTCTGGCTTTCAGCGGGCTGAACTCCAGCAGCTGGCGAAACGGGGAGGAGAGGGAAACGCTTCGGCCTCCTCCACGAACGTGAAGTCGCCAGCTGCCTTACCCGGTCAGAACTCAAGAGTATCGCTAATCCGCCGCACTTCAGATTTACACCCAAACCATTCCCGTGCAACTTCCCACCGGACCAGCCCGAGCCCGGCGCTGGGGACACCCGCTG